GGTCTCCGCATGGCACACACAGAGCAGCTGACACAGAGACTGAGGAGCTGTCCAAGGTCCCAGAACTTCAGAGCCCGAGCTCCTCCTTGTGCTGACCAGGAGTAGTCCGTATGTGTGTCTTACTGCTTCAGGACACCAGAGAGATCTTACAACTATCAGGACTACGGATTTTTTTTTTTTTTTAAAGAAACCCATTCTGTTTCTTTACAGTATTTCTATAGGAAGAATACAAAATACAATCATAGCGAAAAAGAAAAAGGGGGAGACCTGTAATGAACTGTTGCCCTTGTGGTAAGGACAGGTGGAAACCAGGGTGTCCAAAGGACTGGGTCACACCACAGGCCTCCAGCAAGTAAGTCACTTATCCCCACACTGAGCCTCTGCACCACTCTGCTGGAGAACAAGCCTCAGAAGCTCAAAGTGCCTTCCTGACCCAGTACTAACAAACGGGCTTCTCTGACCTCACCCGGACGTCACATTAGCAACTATTACTGCAAACGCAGTCAATTTCTATTTTTGTAAAAGTGAAAGGAAGGGACTGGAAGTAAGACTTGGAGGAGGTGGGAGTCAGAAGCACCAAATACCAACCTCATTCTGCCCGTGTGACTCAGCGTGATCTTCCTGTTACTGCTCCTCGTTTCTCATGCCACCCACACAACTGTGCAAGGTGACTTTGAGCATTTACTTAGGCGAGGATAAATCAGCAGAAATGCATTTTTAAAGAACCTAAAATTATTCTTCAAGTGCACAAGATTACACTGTTTAATAATGATAGATACTCCAGGAATCCAGAAGCTAGTAATATTATTTTCATGGTTTAAAAGAAAAAAAACAACATTAAACCTGTGGATCAAGTATCAGTGACACTAGAGCTTCCAACAAGTTATTGGCAATCTCTTTCTTGAAATGACTGCCAAGGCAGTTGTCTTTGAGAACTTTCTTCTAGAAACTATAAGGTCATTTCTTCCTATAAGTCAGAAATAACAGTAATACCTTTACTAGTGGAGGGAGCTTAGGAGCAATAGGGGTCAGTCCAGATCACCAATGTTTAATTTTATTTATTTTGCTATTTTTTTTTACTTTGAAATCATTTTAGACTAACAGAAGAGTTAATAAGATGGTACAGAAAATCCCCGTAACCCAGATGCTCCTAATGTTAACACCTTATGCAACATTTATCAAAACTAAAAAATTAACATTGGTACAGTTCTATTAACTAGACACTTTATTTGGATTTCCCCAGTTTTCCTATGAAGGTTTTTTTCTTTCCAGGACCCAGGACACCTCATTATAATTAAGACTTCCGGTCTATGACACTTCCTGTCTTTGTTGTTTACTACTTCGACAGTTGTAAGGGGTGCCAGGCAAGTATTCTATAGAATGCCCCTTAGTTTGGTCTGATGTATTCTCATAATTAAATATTAAATATTAAATAATTAAAGGTTATGGATCTTCAGGAAAGAACACCATGGAGGTAATATGCTTGCTCTTTCAAACCCATGATATCAGAAAGTACGTGGTATCAATATGTCTTACGACTGATGATGTTAATCATTTAGTTAAGGTAGTATCTTCCAGGTTTTTCACTGTAAAGTTACTATCCTTCCCTCCCTACTTTCTATCCCTTAGAAGCAAGTGCAGCCCATATTCAAGGGCCAGGAAATTAAGCCCCATCTCCTGAAGGAAGGAATACCAAACCATGTGTGGACATATGTTAAAATCACCATAGTAATAAATAGTTAGGGGGGAACTCATTTGAGGCTCTGCAGAAATCCTGTTCTTGTTAAAGTTTCATCTACTTATTTAAGATTTTATTTATTTATTTGTCAGAGAGAGACAGCACAAGCAGGGGGAGCAGCAGGCAGAGGGAGAAGCAGACTCCCCACTATGCAGGGAGCCTGATGCAGGACTCGATCCCAGGACCCTGGGATCATCACTGAGCCGAAGGCAGACGCTCAACCCACTGAGCCACCCAGGCATCCTATCACCTACTAATTTTAGTATCCATCAGCTTATCCTCCCTGAAGAAATTATTACTGTTATTCTAATGGTGATTTTCTATTTCTATCATTCCTTCTATATTTATTAATTGGAAATTTTCTGAAAGGAAGAATTGTCCCCTCATTCCAATTTATTTATTCACTCATTTATTTATCAGTATGGACTCACGGTTATTTGAAAAGATAGATGGGAGGGGAGAGAGAGAGAGAGAGAGATGTGTGTACATACAGACTAGTGTACAGATTAGTTCTGTCTGCTGAGTCTAGAGGGATCGACATTCCAGGAGCAATGAGCACATCTGGTGCCAAGATCTTGTTTTCTAAATTCCTTTCTCCAGTAAAAGGAACCAGGGCTCCTTAGAGAAATGGATGATTCTAGGGGCAGGAAAAATACAAGATGAGCCTAGAGAATTTTGTGGTGCCAAAAATTAAAGCGTTAAAGAAGGAAAGGAAAAGAAAAAGGATGGAGCATATCAAGAGAACACAGGAGCCAACCTGAAAGAGCCTCCAAAGCCACAGCTGGGATAATCTAAGTGGAACAATGATTAAATAAATAAATGATTAAAAAAATTAAATAAATAATAGACAGACCCAGTACTGGGTCATAATCTCCGCTAGTTGTGAACATATGTATCAAGAGCAAATTAGGACTCACAAGAATAAACCCAAAACCCAGTTGCTCTCAGGTTTGGATTACGTGGCTGGCAGATACTTGTCAAAACCAGCTGGAGACTCTATCCCTGACTCCGTACATCAAACAGCGACAAAATTCCACCAGCCCAGAGTAAGTGTACTTCCTTTCAAGTAAAGCCAATACCTGAAATTATGATTTATACAACAGAAGCTAAAGCCTTGATAATTCCCTAAACGTACATAAACTTTAAAAAAAAGTAACACTGGGATGCCTGGCTGGCTCTGTCCGTGGAGCATGACTCTTGATCTTGGGGTCTTGAGTTCAAGCCCCAGGTTGGGTGTAGAGATCACTAACTAAACAAATGAACAAAACAAAACAAAATAAAAAGTAACTCTGATTCAGCGGTATTTTTTTAAAATCTTATTCTGAGTTAAAAAAAAACAGGTGTTCTAATCAAACTTTTTTTTAAAAGATTTTATTTATTTATTTATTTGTCAGAGAGAGAGAGCAGAAGCAGGCGGAGCAGCAGGCAGAGAGGGAGGAAGAAGCAGGCTCCCCACTGAGCAGGTAGCCGGATACGGGGCTCGATCCCACAACCCACAGATCATGACCGGAGCCAAAGGCAGCAGCTTAACCAACTGAGCCACGCAGGCGCCCCTAATCAGCCACTTGGTCAGTCAGGACAAAGAGCACTAACTGTTTCTGAACTCGCTCAGGAAGGACGGCTGCCGCTGCCCGACCGGCCCGCCCGGCCCGCCTCTCTGTTCCTCCCGCGCTTAACCCTCAGGCACTTCGCAGCCAGGAGACCCGCGCGCCGCACGTCGGGCCGGCACAGGCGACCGCGCTGCGCTCCACCGCGGGGAAAGCACGTCCCGGAGGAGGCCAGCTTCTCCCGCGGAGCCGCGGTCACAAGACAGTAGTTCTCCGGCTAAAACTGAGCGCTCCCGGCCCCTCAGAGGACTGCTTCTTGGACGCAAACCCTTCTGTGTCCCGCCGCCTCCACCTCCCTGAGGGGCGCCGCGGGCCAGCACGACCGCAACAAGCCCCTCGGGCCGCCGGTCCAGCCCGGAGGCGCGTCGCGTCTGCCGGCGTCTGTCCCCTCCACTCTTCACATCACGACAGCAAGCCCTGCCGTCTGCCGGTGCGTCCGGCCCTGGCCCCGACGGTGGAGGCCGACGGGGGAGGACGCCGGTCCCGTCCTGGGGCGCACGTGCGCGCCCGCCGCTCCGAGGCCCTTTCCCTCCAGCCTGGGCTGGCGGCGCGCGTCCGAGCGGCGGTCCCGGCAGGTGCGCTCTTCGGCTCGCGGCGTCGGGAGGCCCTCGGCGAACGCCTGCCACAGGCCGGTAGAGCTGCCGCCGCCGGAGGGGCGCAGGGAGAAGGAGCCCCGAGCGTGCGCGCACGGAGCAGCGAGGCGCAGAGGCGAGGCCGCAGACGCGGCGGCGGAGGGCGGTCCCGGCCCGGCCTCTCCTCGCGTGCAAGCCAGCAGGGGGGCTGCAGACACCCCGTGGGGGGTCAGGAAGGCGACACGTCTGTGGTCCGTGCTCTCTGACGTGACTGGCGGCCCCACGGCCCCTTCCGATCCGAGACACGCTGTGTGGCGCGAAGAGGCTGACGTCAAGGTGCAGTCGAGCGCGGCCGCGGGCTGTGGGCCACGTGGCGGGCGCCTGTGGTGTCTTACAAGCAGCCGTCCCCGCTGAGAGACTCTGATTCCGGGGCCGTCACAGGCCAAGCCTCACGCCTGCCTGCTGAGAGCTTCCCCGCGGCCGCGAGGCCAGCATCTGCCTCGTTATCCTGACAGAGCTTCCCAGTCCCGCCGGAAGCAGCTGCGAGGCCGAGGGGATGAGGAGACGCTCTGAGGGCCAGAGCCTCCGCACTGCTCCGGGGGCGCGCCCTCTCCACAGCGCTCCTGAGCCCCCGCAGGGAGTGAACGAGTCCAACCCCGCCCGGAAACCGCTTCCCGCCTGTTAACGGTCGCACAGTTAGATCAAAAGCGCCTCCCACACGCTGAGACTGAGGGTGCGGATCTAAGGGCCCGACATGCACGTTCCAGGAGCACAGTGGCTGCGTGAAGGGAGGCGCGGGGAGAATGACACGTTCCGTGGCCGCTGAGCGCGGACACTGCGTAAGCCCGGACCTGACCGTCATCATGACCGCCACCGTCATCATGACCGTCACCGTTCCCGGAAGCAAGTAAAATCCCACACACGAGCGGTTCCGGAACCAGGTCAGCCCCACTCCTCTGCCCGGAGGACGCGGACTGCGTGTCACACGTTGTCACATGAGTACGTGTTTCCCGCGACGACGAGGGGCCCTTCCTGCCCTAGCCCTGCAGCGACCAAGTGGCGCACGCGGCTGCGACCGCCTACCTTTCGAAGCGCTGCTTCATCTGTTTGCACGCGTAGTAGCCGCCGTCCCTCAGGCTCTGCATCTTCGTCACCTCGGAAAACGTCCCCTCTCCGATTTTGCCAAGTGCTTTATAGCCTAGAACAAAACAGCCACACGGATAAACGCTGCGTGCTGGGGGACTGTGCTCACTTCCAGACAGCGGCTCTTTCACCCAGACGGTAACCCCACGCTGGCATGCCGAGGACTGTTACTCCATGTTTCTTTCTTTCTTTTTTTTTTTTTAACTTTAATTATTTATTCGAGAGAGAGCGAGTAAGAGAGAGCATGAAAGGAGAAGGTCAGAGGGAGCAGCAGACTCCCCCTGGAGCTGGGAGCACGACGCGGGACTTGATCCCGGGACTCTGGGATCATGACCTGAGCTGAAGGCAGTCGCTCAACCACCTGAGCCGCCCAGGCGCCCTACTCCATGGTTTCTAAGGTTCGGGGCTCCCCTTGGCTCAAGGGAAGCTGCCAGCAGGGGGAACTGCAGAAGAGGGTCAACAGGGCCAAACTTCCAGTTCCAAGAGAAGGAAGTACCGGGGATGGAACACGCCACAAGGTGACTGACCACAGCTAACACCCGCCGCATGACATACAGGACAGTTGTTCAGAGAAGAGTCCCAAGAGTGCCCATCACAAGGAGAAAATTTTGTTTTCTTTTTCCTTTCGATTGTATCTGCCGGAGGGGATGGGCGGTAGCTGAACGCATTGTGGTCATCATTTCTCCATATGTGTGAACCAAACCGTCGTGCTGCCCGTCTTACACTCATACGGCGAAGCGTGCCCACTGTCTCTCAATACAACTGGGAAAAAAGTAAACAGGACTTTCACACATTGGGGAAAAAAAAACAGGCAGCTAGGTTGTGTGTTCGCAATGAGCAGCATCTCCTCCCGGGCTGTGCTTCCCCTCGTACAGCGGGGAAGCTCCCCGCCTGGACCCCGCCTGCGGGGAGAGGCTCAGCACCCGGTCAGAGCTGGAAAGCAGATGACCTGAGTGGCGAGGCCGGCTGGAACTCTCTAGCAGGAGCACCCGAGCTCCGGCTCTGCGGAGGCGTGGTCTCGCACCGGGCGGCCTCCAAACCTTCCCCAACCTTCCCCTGAACGTCAGCTTCGCGGTCCTGCGGAAGGCCCAGATGATCTGCTGCCGGCTCCTGGCATTCTTGCATTTCCTGACTTTAGGAAAGCGGCCAGCAGCTTCGCTGGCTTTGCTGCCACCACCACCACTGCCACTCCAGCTCAGATGACAGCTTCATAGCCGCCGATTCACTACATTAAATGCCATGCTGTCTGAAGTCCCTAGGGCAGTGGCTGTTTCTCAGACCAAACCCTGACAGGCACAGGAACGAGGATCTCGAGCTAAGACGCCGGGAACAAAAAAATGTAAGAAATACAGTCAGGTGGCAGACAGCAGGCTGGGGTGCTGGGGAGCCTGGCGCGCCACGGCGAGGACCCAAGTCTCTCCTGCGGTGACCGCTGCCTGGCATAGAGCAGTGTCTCCCCAGCCTGCAGGCCTCTGGAAAGCAGTGGGAAGGGCCAGGGAGGTGGGGCATGTTGACTACTGACTGCCTCGGCAAAAGGGTTCCAGACAACGAGCTCAGCGCACAAATGCTACTTTTCAAGCAGGGATGGAAGGAATGAGAAAAACCCAAAAGGAAAAAGTCTTACTGGATTGAAAAAGTTTCTTCAGTCCAAGTAAGAGAAGAGTAAGATAGTAAAATATGTTGACAGAAGCAGTCTGTGAGACTTCCCAGTCGCACAAAGGGTTCAGCGTGGCACGAAGATCACAGAAAGGCAGCTACTCCCCACCCCGGCCAGGCACTGGTTTCGGGGAGCTTGAAGGGAGGGCCCGGAGATTGGGACGAGACACAGAATGCAAGGCCCAAAAGAAACAGGGCAGCCTTTCGAACTGTGTCTAGGAAAGAACCATGAGCGTGGAGCTGACCAGAAACAAACAGATCAGAAACCTGTTAAACAGACCTGGACCACAAAAAGCCCCGCCACCTCTGGGTCCCAGGCCTACACGAGCACAGAGCAGGCTTATACAACAGCACAGCCCCAAAGGAGGCCGCCCCCTCCAACGCCTCTCTTGGATAGGACACATCTGTAATGCCCACATGAGTTCTGATTTGAACAAACCAATGATAAAAGACAGTATTTTTCTTGATGCTTGGTGCAAAATAAAGCTTTGCTTGACCTTCAAAAAAAAAAAAAGACAGTATTTTTTTTCTAGAAGTAATAATGTTTCTTAGAAATATGTATAAAAATGAAAAAATTTCTCTACTAGAAAGAAATACTGAAGTACTGCCAGGTGAAATGATAAGGTGTGTGAGATTTGCTTTAAAATGCTCCTGTGGGGGCGCCTGGGTGGCTCAGTGGGTTAAAGCCTCTGCCTTTGGCTCAGGTCATGATCCCAGAGTCCTGGGATCGAGCCCGGCATTGGGCTCTCTGCGCGGCAGGGAGCCTGCTTCCTCCTCTCTTTCTGCCTGCCTCTCTGCCTACTTGTGATCTCTGTCTGTCAAATAAATAAATAAATAAATAATCTTTTAATAAATAATAAAATGCTCCTGTACGTTCCCACTGGCCACTGCTGAATGTGTACGCGGGGACAGTCACTTGGAGGGCAGTCTGACATACCCGTTCCATCTGTAAGACATTCATACCCTCTGACACAGCAATTCCAAGTGGAGAACTTATCCTGTAAGAAACACTTGCTCAAGTAGGTATGACACGAGGATGTTAGTTCAACATTTTATTCATAGGGAAAAACTGATGCTCCCCCCCTGTGTACTAGATAAATTATGTACGGTTTATCCATATAATGGAATATATTGAATATATTTTAAACAATGACCCAGAGTAGGGGTGCCTGGGTGGCTCAGTCCATCAAATGTCAGACTCTTGGTTTTGGCTTGGGTCGTGATCTCAGGGTGGTGGAATGGAGCCCCATGTCAAGCTACTTGAGAATTTCTTTCCCTCTGTCCTCCCCCTGCCCTCTCCATCTCTATCTTTCTCTTTCTCTCAAAAAAAAAATTGACACAATATTATTCCCTTTAAGATAATACACTTAGTGCTCTCTCTGAGGGGTAAGGTTACCAGTGTCTCCTCACCTAAGTTAGATATTTTCCATAATGACAGCACCATTTTATTAAAAAGCAACAACAAAAACTATAGACTCCAGGGAAAAAGTGGCAGGGGTAAGAACAGCAAAATCATCACTGTAGAAACTAGGTAATGGTACACAGGAGGGCTCACTCTATTATTTTCTCTATCTCTGGCATGCTTGAAGCTGTCCATAATAAAAAGTCAGAATAACAAAATAAAAGCAGAGGAAAAGGCAGTCGCTGCGGCAGCCACAGCGCGCACCAAGACAGCAGGCAGAAAAAAGGAAAAACCAAACCTCCCCCATGCGACCCCCGCCCCATACAAGCTCATGCCTCTCTGACCAGCCAGGAGAGAAATGAGCCCCCGGGAAACTTAGCAGATAGAGATGATGGAAAAGCTACCAGGAAAGACTCTCGATGGGGAGCACCCACATAGGACTTGACATGAGCATGAAAAACACCTCTCTTGTGAAAGCCCCGGAAACTCGGGGTTTTATGTATCCATTACAGCACCTGGGGAGCATTACCCTAATATACCTGATATATAAATATCATGTCATAAAACAGAAGCAATGAGAGACTTTTGAGAATTTGTATTTATAAGATTTCACAGAAAAGTCATCTTTGGGGGCGCCTGGCTGGCTCGGTCGGTGGAGCCTACAACCCTCAATCTCAGCTCAGGTCTTGATATCAGGGTCATGAGTTCAAGCCCCACATTGGGCTCCACACTGGGCATGGAGTTCACTTCAAAAAAAAAAAAATCATCTTGTCATTCAATATTCAGTGACTTTAGTTACAAAAATTCAGCCTGTGCCTAATTTTTCAGAACAAACTTCTCCCTGTCTGAGATTTTACTTACTTATAAGTTACTAAATTAGCCAGCTCCTGTTTCATGAGAACTGGTGGAAGACACAGCGTCTTGCGTCAGAGACGAAAAACCTTATGACTCACGGTAGAGCCGAAGTCTCATGGTGGTGACACGATGGGCCCAGATGACACGTGTACATGCAACTGACTGCTTTACCGGAGAGGAACCCAGGGCCAGTGGCCCAGCCCTTCTTGGGCAAGCAGCTCAGAGATGGATAAGCTCTGCCATCTGGCATACTCAGCGAGAACTTGCAGGGAAGCTCAGGGCACAGAGCAAAGTCCTTCCCCCAACAGCTCATTACAGGGTTAATACACACGGCAGCCACTTTTACTGAGACCGTACGTGGTACGGTATTGTTCTTGCCTGTAAGTATTCCTATATATGTCATATTGACTTCACTGCTACCTTTCAATCTTCCTCAAAATAACAATTTCAGTGCACATTTTCAAATATCTTGGCTTCAGGCCACATGAGATGAGAAAATCCTATTTGTAATTACATATTTGTAGAAATTGGAAAAAATGCTTCTCCCCAAGAACAGCATCTCCCCATGTTATTACCATTCAAAATGCTACACACCGCCATAATGGCTACCGCAGGAGGAAATAAGGACCTGTGACTGCTGTGCATTTGGGAGACATTCAGCAACTCGTGCAGGGGAAGACTGAAGAAACAATTGTTTAAGTTGCTCACAAAAATTTATTTTCCAAAGAGGACTTCTAAGGAAGGAGATAAAAAGCACTGAGAGTACCCTAAAAAGATAGGCCCTCGTCCTAACCCCTGGCACCTGTGACTGTTACCTTATTTGGAAGGTCTCTGCAGGTATAATTAAGTGAAGGATCTTGAAATGAGAACATTCTGGATTATCCAAGTGATCCAATGGCAAGTCCTTATAAGAGACACAGAGAAAGAGCAGAATGGTGGTTGCCAGGGCCTGGGGAATTGTGATTCAGCAGGTATGGAGTTTTAGTCATGCTGGGTAAAAAAAGTTTTAGAAGTTTATTGTACAATAACGTGCACCCTTAGCAATACTATACACTTAAAGGTTTATTAAGCAGGTAGAACTCATGTCATTGTTTTTCACAACAATAAAAAGAGGGAGAGAGATACACACATAGAAGAGGAGG